CGCAGGTTCCCTGCAACGAGTGGGCCACATGGGAGCTCATGTAGTTGGAAGAAAACTCGGGTGATAAGATTTGACAGACTGCATAATCTATATGGGAGGGGAGATAATGAAAGCTAAATTCAGACTCCCCTCCCCTAATGTCTGGCTGAGCATGACAGGCTATCTACTGGGATGTTTCCCTTACATGCCACAGCATGATCCACACAAGGACTCTGGACTAGTTTTCTCAAAGAAAACCCCACTTCACCATACACTCAAAAGCAAGGAAGGGAAGGTCCACACCTGCAATAGCAAGACGCAAGTTACCACAGTCAAAACTGCACTATTATCTTAAATTCCCAATGTAGCATTATCTGAAATTCAAGAGATTCTTTGGGGTCACAGGGTGAGAGATATCCGAGGCACATTATTAGCCAAGGGTGGGCAAATATAAGTCACACATATGGATGTATAGCCAATGCAGGCAGTCGTGTTCTGCACAGTGGACATTGGGTTCACCACGTGGACCAGTTTTCTCCGCATACTGCCTCACTACCCCCTGCAGTGTATGACACTCATGCCTAAACGCACACAGGCACAAACAACGCTCTATACAGTCTAAATCTGTAGTGCACAAACAGCACATTTCATTGGTTCATTTCTGTGTGAAGCATCCTCTTTTTCAGAATGTCCAAAATGCAGACACAACATGAATTGGGAGCAAAGCTGGCGCTGTTTCTATTATTTACAGTATTTGGAAATGACTCTCCCACTTGCAATTCTTAAGTCTCACAGAATAGGTTTAAATATTTATATTAACTTGTTCACATGATTGCAACTTCAGGTTTAGAATTAGACAACACGGAACTGCACTCAATTTATCTATGACGGATATAATTTTTAAATAAAAGTAATTTAATAGTCCTATTTCTGTTTTGGCATGTATAAATACAAAGATTTTGCCTCACTGAGCCCTAGTTTCACTGTACTTATATGCAGTTTCACTGCATTACTGTTATAACTTTTAAATGTCTACAGAGCAAGATTATGGTCCCTGGAAGAATGCCCATAAGATAGGTCAGATTCCTTCTCCGAAGACTGTACACATTCCTACAACCAGAAGGAGACAATTCTGAACCAGTGCATTCTTCGACTTTCAGCCACCATGGAAAGGAGCTACTCCTCTGACATCAATTTCAGAAGTCCTCAGAGAGGTCAGAAAGATCCAATGGCCTCTCCATCCTCATCTACCACCATTAAATCACTGGAGAGGCCCATCTACAAATTGTTGGAGAAATCACCTCCAACAGCTCTTCTGTCATGCCTGAAAGAGCTCTCTATCTGTTCAAAAGCAGCAAAGCAAAAGATAGGATTGCTTGCAAAGCTGCCATGTTTAAAACTGTTACTATCATGTTTGCATGTGGCATTTTAAAAATAAGTAGATATTCTTGTGGATTTTATTCCAGTGTCCTGTACATGAAAGTGATTGTAGAGATGATCTTGTTATGCTGACAAATTAAAAAGGGGTCTTTTTCCGTAATACTTGTTTTTACACTCTACCACATAATGCTACGCATAGTTACAAAAAACACACGAATAAGTCATTGATATAAAAGCCCAAAGCTCAGGCGCTGTCCTAGCAAACCTCACTTCATGAGGATTCATGCTACAGAGTTAAAATTCTAGGCTGAAATTCTAACCGGTACAAATAGGCAGTGTCAGGATTGCAGCTTTAGATGGTTCACAAGTTGTCTGGCACTTCGTACAATACAAAATAACTGTGCAACCTAATAACAGGCCTCTTTTGCTTCAGGACAAGTTTGTGTTGCAAACATAAAGCATCAATTTTCTATCAGAAAAAATGAGGCTTTTATAAAAATGCATGGTTTTCAATTTCTATTACACTTCTTCTGTTATCCCATCGCAGTTGATATTTGACAGACATTTCTTCCCTTTTGTAGCCTATTTCTATTGAAAAAAATTATTTTCAGGTGGTATGTTTTGTCTGGCTAGAATAATCTACCAAAGAAATATATCACCTGATGCTACATGCCAGAAGTAGTGTCCTACTTCTCAGTATCTGTACACCATTCCTATCATCAGATTTCTTTCACTACCATCTTTATTTAAAAGATGCCCATATGCAATATACATTTATAATGCCACAATACAGGCACACTTGAACTTGCACTGTAATAAAGGAACTTACTTTTATGCATTTAGACTGGAGATGTCAGATTCTGAAAAATGTAACCATCTTGATCAAGAATTACAGCTATTTTTGAGGTAATTCAAGCAATGATTGCTTTATTTTTAATCAACTATCATTATTTTCAGTTTGGGGGCATTTGATACAACTTGAATCAATATATTTAGAATTTCCAATTTATCAAAAAAGGAGACACCAGCAAATGTCAAATGCCTTTATCAACTTTTTTACTGAGGTTTTCTTGAAAACTTGGAACAGAAACTTTTAAGTAGAATTAAAAACATGACTTTTGTTCATGCTTCACCAAGCCCCAAGATCACTTCTTAAATATGAAGACTGGCTTCATATTATAATGCAAACTTCTGTTAAAAATTCAGTATGTGGCATTTTAAAAAGTGTATTTGGAAGCCTGCTTCCTCACTTTAAAGGTCTGTAATCTGCAAAACATTCTGGTTTTACCAATATATAACTTATTTGTTAAGAAATCATTTGTTTTCATGATTAGCCACACAAGTGAAATTATGAACAGAGGCTGCCGTGTCCATTAACACAGTCTGTTATTCAACTGTATGATCATACCCTAAAATGCAACTACCACCTCATGCCATCTTAATGGTGAAGCATGACCCACGTGCAACACGCAGGTTTGCTATAAATAAGTGCAAAAGAGCTACACAAAATGTTCACAGATTATCTTTCTACCTTTCAATAATTTATGGAGTTGCCCATATTTTGTGCACCAGTTAGCATGCCTGCCTGCCTACCATTCTGCACAGAAACTGGCCCATATAGCTACAACAACCAATCATCCACTCCCTACACTTCTTTGCCAGTTCAAAGGGTGTGTGTGTTGGTGCAAACTGAACTTTTTCAGTTCAGACAATTCTGGTTAGTACCATAAGCATATACAACCAAAGGCAAGCAATAATTCTAATGACTAATTCTATCACGCATGTTTGCAACCAACAAGAATGCCATTTCCCTTAACACTTTGGACGAAATGTCAAAGAAACACTGAAGTATCCCTTTATCGGAATAAGCTGAGAACTAAGTATGGACTTGAAGTCTTTCAATAACAACAGTGTGAATCAAATTGCATAATTCACAGCTACAGACAAACTCACTGGAATCTGAGAAGGCAGCCCAGGAGAGCTTTTCATCAGTGCCATATTTCATAACGAGGTAAACCTCTGGAACTTCTCCTTCCTAATGAACCTTCTGACTTATCTACAAATGTGGTAGAGAGCTCTGAGAAAACACAGGCAGCTTTTATATACACAGCGTCCGTGGAACATTCCATTAAACCAGAGTATGTTTATAGAAATAAATCAGTCGGAGTGGGTTACACGTTTAGTTACACAAGTTTGCTGCTGTGCTGCTTGCAAGTACTACCAAGTGCACAAAACATCAAGTATCCAGAAGGAGAAGCAAGCCAAGTTCCACTTCTTTGGATCAAAGCACGTAGAACATGGAACCCAGATGTCTTCAATTTCTATCATAGGTTTTCACAGTCCAAACTTCATGTGGAAAACAAAAGACAAACAAACTGAACTAAAGTTTACTCATTCCTTCCAACTGTGTCAACTAACAGTTTCGTAAAGCCTTCACTGACCAAAAGGCTGTTACTGTGTGATATGATACACATGAATATGTAGATAAACTTGAATGCACCACCGAAGCGGGTTGTTTTGTTGCACATCCTGAAACACAGCCAGAGAAAGAGAGGCACAGCAGTGAGGATCACGGAAGGAAAAGGCTGCCAGGTGGGATTTTGTTTAAAAGTTATGCCTGGGTGATCTGCTGTCACTCCTTGGCAGCTGTAAAGCGGTATTCTGGCATGAGGGGAGCGAGGCAAACGGATCGCACGCACGGCCTCCCCCTCGATGCCCCACAGTCGCCACGACCTGCCCGTCTTTTCTTCCGGTCTTTTTTCAAGACGGTCCAAACGGCCGGGGCGGCCCAGCGCTGCCTCCTCCCGCAGAACTGGGGAAGGTACCAGAGCCTCACCTCCCCCTTCGCAGCGGGTCACCACGCTACCGGCTGTTGCCACAACACAAGTTTCAGGGAACTTCGCCCACATCGTCCCACCCAGGGTCTGCCGACCTTCACGACTAACTGAGGGAGGCGAGGGGGCAGAGCAGAAGCGTGTGCGTGTGCGCGGCATTCTCCTCCTCTCCCGCTACTCGGGAAGCGAGTCCCTTGCAAAGCCACATGCCAGGTCCGCGCTGAGCAAAGCGTCACCCCGGCCAGCGGCCAGCCTGCCTGCCTGCCCGCCTGCTAGACGGGGCGGCCCTGGCTGGAAAGGAGAGGAAGAATTGTGTCACCTCACTCCTGCCACCCCGAACTCCTGGCCGGCAGTCAAAGTGCAGAGGTGCCTTTTATTTATTTTTTATTTTTTAAGGGAAAGAGCCTCGATTTCAAGCAAATCAGCCTTTCGTTGTCTCGCCTGCGCGTCCAAAATCCGAACTTCTGCCCGGAAAATTGTCCTCGCCTCTTCGGGGGAGGCCGCCCCTCGCCACCAGACCGTGCGCAAGTCTCGCCCTCCCTGCGTTTTTGCACCGGGCGGTCCAAACTAACGGGATCCTTCCCACCGCGCCCTGAGCTTCCCCGCTCTGTTCCAGGCGTCTCTCCGCTTGGCTTTTTTTCCACGCACGCAGCAACTCCAAGGGTCACACCCGCGGAGGGAATAACTCCCAGTTCCCCACGACTGCCCATCCCCGGGACAAATCCCCATCAGCTTTTCACGCATCGTCTCCCGGGAGGCCGTATGCGCACAGAGAGAGGCAGAAAGGGGAAACGGGAGAGCGTTTACCTGTGAATGTCTCCGCTCTCGCTGCCAGCAAAAGTCCAGCCAAAGTCAGGAGGCAAGTTTCAACTTTCCCCATATTTCTTGTTGCTCCAGAAATGGTCCCCACTGGCCCTCCCAGGCGATGTGGGAGGCTAGCGCGGGGTGCCTCTGTCCCGTTCCGTGGCCCCTTCTTGACAGCGGCAGCCTTTGCTAGGGGGGGAAAGGGGGCTCCGAGAAGGGCTCCGTTTTCTCCTGCCGCTCAGCACTTCGCGCTGCTGCCAGGAAAGTCCCGCTACTCCGCGCTCCCTGTTGCGCCGCTCCAGCCCCGCCGCCTCCGTCCTAGTCCGGCGCGCCGCGCCGTCTTTTGCCGGGAACTCTCTTCTTGCTCGAGACTCCCCGCACTGACTCGCGCTGCCCCCGCCAGGCAGGCAGGCAGGCAGGCGAGGCAGCCAGCCAGCCAGCCAGCCAGCCAGCGAGCGAGCGAGCAGGCAAGCCGCCGCGAGCGAGCTGCCAAGTCACGCCCAGGCGCCGACAACGCCACCTTCCCCCGCTAGAGGGCGAGTGGCGCCCAGAGCCGGCGCCCGCGCCAGCCGCCCGGCCGCCTGCGCGGGAGGCGCCGCTTCGGCTCCCGCGGGAGAGCGAGCGCGAACGGGACAGGCGCGCGCTCGCCCAAGGGACGGGCGGCGCGGCGAGCGCGGAACGGCCCGGGAGAGCGCGCGGGCAGGCAGCGCGCCGGGACGGGAGACGCGGGCGACGAGTGAGAGCGGCGGCCGCTTGGGCCGAGGGACCCCCGAGGCCGGGCGAGCTGGCGCGGGGCGAGCAGCGCTGCAAGGCAGGCGTGCCGTGCCCGTCGCCTTCGGCCAGAGGGGAGACCGGAATCAACGGGACTTGAGAAGCGTCGGATTTAGAGCAGCCTTCCTTTGAGCCAGGTAGCAGCTCGCCTGGTTTCCCGCATCTGTGCCATCCTTCAACGCTACAACGTCGGTGGGAAGTTACACAGTTTGAGCACGTGCAGAGTGCCGGTCTTTGGTCACACCTGGACGGCTGCAACCGCGTTTTAGAGGAACAAGGCTCACGGGGATGCAGCCCCACACTTTCTGATTAGCAAGGGGCACAGGTGCCCCTGTGAAGAACTACCCTCCTTGGAGTTCCCTGTTCCGGCTGAATTTAGCTGCAATCCCATCGGCAGCTGTGTTCAAATGAATTTTCTCAGCAACAGCGTATTGCTCCTGTTGCAGTGAAAAGTATTTTGCAGTGGCTTTCAATGGGCAGTCAAGACCCATTAGCTTCACAGAAGCCCTTTTGCTGGTGGAGAGAAAAACTGCAAGAACTGGTGTATTGACATGGCACAGCACAGCTGCCTAAAGTTTTGGGCTGCGGATTGTCATGAGGGCCATCTCACAGCATTTGCTGCTACAACACTGACCTCAGCCAACCCCCATATACATCCACGAACACTGGAAAGGTCTGCAGGCACTTTCAGAGACTTTGACATTTAATGGGGGGGGGGGGGGGCGGCGTTAAAGACCATGGATGGGTTGCCCTGTGGAAGTGCAACTGCTAGATTAAATCCTGGGGCAGAGACCCAGGCCGTAATTGCGATAGGACATTTGTGGATTGCAAGTCAGTATCTGTACAAGAAGATGGCATTCAGAATTTCATTTTCTGATGCCAGTTTTGAAGGACTATCCTACAGTGTAATGAGATGAATTCTGTCTGTGGATGCTCAGAGGCACTCTTCAGACCAGCCTTCTTCAACCTGGTGCCCTTCAGATCTGTCAGACTACAGCCCAGTCACCCCTGACCAGTGGCCATGCTGGCTGCAGCTGGTAGAAGTTGTAGACTAAAAACCTGGAGTAGCACCAGAGTGTGGGATGGTGCTTCAGAGCAATAGCTTGTATTGTCATACAGCTTGCCTTCTGGGTCCAGGTATGTGCACAGATAAATTAAGGCATAGCTTACAGATTTAAAGCAATGCCACTCCTATTGTCCTAAATGTGCCGATATTGTCCTCATCCTCCTTTTTTCCTGCACCTTCCAGGTAGTAAATCTTTTATCCAGCACTCCTTTATAAGGAATAATGCAGTAAGCCTCTTCAGAAAAATGAGAGGTGGCGGAGAAAGAGGAAACACTCCATCAGAGCCCTTAGTATTACCTCCCTCTTGCTTTCCCAAATTCTTAATTCTTAAGAAATTATTGCTATTGCTGCTAGAGGTTACAGTCCTAACTTGCAATGGGGAACCCACGGGCTGCCCCTCCAGAACTAATGGGAAAGGCTGCCAGAGGTATACTAAAGGCGGCCTTTTCTTTCTCAAAGCCTATGAGAAAAACACTCCCTTTCATGCTGCCTTATCTTCTTAGCAAAAGCCCAATCAGCAGTGATAGAATCGACACATCTCAAATCTTTCATTCTTCCATTTACAAGAAGCTTTGTGTATGTCTTAAGGTCAAACTATGTCAGCTAAGCACAGGTGTGCTTAATGTAGCCGCCATCAGCTGCTTGTGTTTCCTTCAGTATCATGCAGTCAGTTTTAAAAGGCTTAACATAACATGTAGCTTGACCCTTATGCTAAACTCTCCCAAGTCTAAAGGGACATTGAATAGCCTACCTACTGTCTTTCTTCCTTTGAGTGAGCCAACACAACTTAGCACCTTAATTTACAATGGGTTATGATCACTATGGAGGAAAAAGAGAAGACTTAAGAAGCATTGGTGGTTTCTTCTGCCCATCCCTTTTTTCGCATTTAAGTCACTGCCTTTTATTTCTTTGTCATTCTTTTTAATAGCCCCCAAAGGAAGGTATGAGTGCATTTCCTCTTCCTCGCAGCTGCTTTGTTTGCAGAGGAGCTCTGTGCAGGATTGTGTTCCTGGCAGGAAGCTGCTTCAGCTAAAGGAGAAAGGGCGTGTTTGTGAAACTCAACTCTCACACGGGATACAAAGGCGTCTCATTAACTTTCTCATTTAGCGCAACAGGCCAAAGTCTCAGCTGCACCATCCACAAGAGAAGCTAGAGAACTTGCTCCCTTTACAAAATCCCCCCCGCAGAAAACGAATGATGCAATTGGATCATAAATAAAAATGAACGAGCTTAAAAGCAATACACTGGTTCCATGTGTGGTAATAAATCCAGCCTCACTTGCTGTGCAGTTCAGTTGCGAGAGAAAATCAACATTTCCTCCCCTGGTCCCCAGTATTTGACAGCTGAGCCTCTCTCTACTTCCCCATCGTGCTTTGGCCCACTGCTATTCCAAGCCACTAAAAAGGAGCAAAGGAAGAAACGTAAAACTGCAATAAGTAGAAAATCTAGTGGTACGATGACAATCTGGCTGCTGGCAACAGGCAGAATTGTTTCTAGGCCACCAATCACCTTTAAGTTCTGTTACATCTCTATACCAATCTTTAAGCCAGCTATCTACAAACAAATGTAGAGTTTTCCAAAATATTTTTGCTCATATACTAATCAGTGCAATACAACTGGAACAGCAACATTTTCCCCATAGAGTTAAACAATCTTATGCTGAAAAGTAAAAGGAAGTTAATACTTTTCAACTGATGAATGAACTTTCATGAATAAGGAAAAACAGGGACAGGGATGGCACAATGTACGAAGCCACCATGGCTTCAAAACCATAGTAGCTTAGCATGTTGCCTGCAGCACACGGGGTGTTTCTTTGTACCTACAAAGCTACCCCCAAAATATCATTTTGTGGCATTTTATTGCTACTTCCCAGCTTGCCCTATTAGCTAAACCTGAATGACACAGGTGAAGCCCCAAAGCCTACCGAGTCACTTGTCTAAACTGGCAGGACATGTTTCTTTTCTGAACAAGTGGCTTGGATGACAGTCACTCCAAGTGCCCAACCAGCACTTTGGGTGGTTGTCATTGGCTCCCCTGCCACTGCATGCCACTTCCCCAGGGCTTGTTTAGCAGCATGGCAGCGGCACGTTCGTCTAACCCCCGGTCCACCATTGCAAACACCCTGCAATTGCAGCAAGGGGCAGAAGATCCACTGCCACCAGCAACAGCCGGGGAATGAGATGCATTCTCCTGGATCATCTGAAGAAGCCCTCAGAACATTTCTTCTTGGTGCAGTAGGGATGCCCAGCTAGCATTTTTGGGTCGATATGCACATTTTGGGAGAGTGCCACAGGAACTTTTACAAAATGGTTGCCCTGGGGGCATGCCCATCCGTAAACTTGCTATCATTGACAGCGTGGGCGATCCCAAAACACTAATTTTCTAGAAGACAAAGTGATGAGACTACAAGACTAGACCCTAAAAGAAAAGTCACAACGCAGACAGCATTGGAATCCAGAACAAAAAGCCACTTTGAACCCAAATAAAAATGCTGTTGGGGGGCCACCCTTTGCTTTGCAGCATGACAGCCTTTGAGCTGAAACAAATCTTGTTTGTTTGTTTGAATCAAAAATAATAAAAATTAGGATAGGCAGGGAACCTGCTGGGTCCCGAGGTTGGTGGTTGCAGGTACATTGGTACATAGGAACATCGTATAAGAGGTCCCCAAGGCAGGACTTTAGTCTGATTCAGTGTGGCTCTTCCTGTGTGCACTTCTACATTGCTAAAATGTAAACTTGCTGAAAAATTAGAGTTGCCCCCAAATATTCTACTATACTTTTGCAGCCCCTTTGACAGGCCATAAAATGAGGGAGACATTCCTCTTCTCTGAAGGAGGCATTCAGGCTGCCTCTTTCCTGAGGCTTCTTACATTTTCTTGGTGGGAAGAATAGTGCGTCCTTTATGCAGGTTTCCCCGCTCCCACTGGCTTTTCCTCCTCCTCCATATTCCAGTCACAAAGTGGCACTGTGGTGCAGCTCCAGTGTAACCGAATTGCAACAACACACGGGACTTTTATTCTGTACAGTTCCAGATTTGAAATGTAATAGCTGACATTTCTCTCTCTCTCTCTAAAAAAAAAAAAAAAAATGTTGCCAAAATGGCTAGAAACACAAGAGTGATCCAAGAAGTCCAAAAGTTGACAAGCACACCATAAATACCGTTTGTAGAGAAGTTCATTTTGGCATGGAGTGGAATTTCCAGGTTAAGTCTTAAAGAGATCCCTTCCAGCTTTAGTTGGTTGATGCCATCCTGTTTTTATAAAGCCCTGTTCTAGAAGGGCTTTCTGGAGGAAATGGCAATTCACAGGAAAATGTGGGGTTACTCACCTGAGATTCAAGATAGGGAAAATTGTTCTCCCCCTTCTCTTGCCTTCAAAGCTTTCCAAATCCACACTGAGCTGTTTTAAAGATGCCTCTTGTGCCTTCATCTCCACCTGCAGCACATTATAATTCAAACCCCTGTTTCCACCTCCAGCATTTCCTTCACATTACCAACTTTCCTGTAGGCTGTAGCTGGCTCAGTTTTAGTTCTAATGTCTTTTTCCATCTTCTGTTCTGGCTCCATGTAATATTTGCTGCTGCAAAATTGT